TATCCCTGGCTTCCTCTGGGCTAATTCTGCCCACACTCTGACACGCCTCTTGTGACCTGCTGCTGCGCTCTGCCTCGTGCCTGCTGTGCAAGTGGGAATGAGCTTTCAAGTACTTGGACTTAGTTCACCTGAGATTTCAGTACAAGAAGTTTCAGACTTGAGTCCATGACTGTGGTGAAGTCCTGATTTACCCTCATTTATGCAACACACAGTGCACAGAGATGACTTTCAGTGATGACAACCGGGGTGCTGATTCATTGTGCTTCTCCTCATGCTCCTGTTCTCTACTGCACCACCCCTTGGAATGGAAGACAAAGGATTTTTCAAAAATCCAAATCTGAGCATCATCCTTCTGTCTGGCAAGCAGTTCTCTTATATTTATTTATTTGTACTAAGGACTGAACCCAGGGCCTTCTTCCTGAGCTACCACCCCAGCCCTTCCTCTGCTTTAGTTTTATCTTGAGACAAGGTCCTCCTGAATCATGAAGCTGCCCAGGCTGGGGTCACCTTGCACTCCTCCTGCCTCAGCCTCCCAGAGTGCTGGGGTTACAGATGTGTGTCACAAAGCCCCGCATCTCTATGTCTCTTAGTCTGAAGTTCACAATACTCAGTGTGGCTGTTGCATTGTATCTTATGCTACAGGGTCTAAACCACCAGGCTCAGGCACCTTGAGTCCCTTTTACCACCACAAATATGCCTCACTTCTTCCTGCCTGGGTCAGTCCCTGTCTTCTTCTTCACCGGGATATGGCTCTGCGGTCCTGGGACATTGGCTCCATTGCACTTCGTTGTTCAAGAAGGGCACTCCTGACAGTCCCAGGCATCTGATCGTCTTTGGCCAGTACACACATGTGCTTGGCACACAGAAACTAAGTATGTGATGTTCCACAGAAAGGCTTGTGAGGCAAGGCTGGCTTAAACATGTGCTATGACAACTTATTAAAGTGCAAAGGAAAATGATTGTAAGAGTGAGAGGTCGTTTTTAAGTTCTGTGCCAACAAACTGTATGGGCTTATCACTGGCCCTGTTTTATTTCCTACCTAACACTCTCCCTGCATTAATCATATGAATTGACTTATTGTTAGCAATTACTCATAAGCTCGTGTCAGCACATCTTGGTCCGATCTTTCAAAGCAGAACATGCATCCCCTGGGAAGAGACTGCCTCTGTCTCTCTCACTGTCGCACCTCACGGTCTGCCTCCGCTGTTGCTTGTGACACTCACCAACTTGTACCTGTGAGCTGGAGCAGCTGGGTTCTCGGCTGGGCTGTGTCAGCTGCACCTGGCATCTTAAGCAGACAGCGCTGCCCCTTTGGCTTCGCTCTCACTGCTGACTGTTGCTGTCACTGGAGCCTCAAGAAGGCAAGTTAATCCCATTTGGCTGAGAGTTATCCAGTCTAACAGAAATGCCATAGCTTGGCACTACCCCAGATGCTTGTTTGCATCAATCAATAAAAATATCAAACATTTTGATCAGTAAAAACTGGCTTCCTTGCAGCATTAAGCATTGTTTTTGCATTGAGTAGGATGGCAAGAGTAAACGAAGTACGAGGAAGTTTAAACAGAGGAGCTTTATATTAGTAATAGGACACAGCACCTTTGCAGTTTATTTTTCTTTCTACTTTATGAGCTTTCACCCAATATTATGATAAAATCTTATACTCCTGAGAGCCTGGATGCACGGGGACCTAGAAGGGTTCCCGTGGCAACCGGAGCTGCCTGAAACTGTCCCGGAGTGCTTCCCGTTTTAACTTCACCTCATGTTGACTGTGAAAATGGTAAAAATGAGGAAAATCAGGGGCACGCAAAGGAAACAAGACCACTTGTATTATAATTAGAATAATAATCGTCATTCTAGTTATTTTGTCTTGAAGAGGGAGACTCAACTAGAAGAGAGTTGATACCCTGGTCGGATCAGAGCGCAGGCTTATAGTTCAGATGTCCTGGGCTGAGATGTGGCTCCTGCTTCAGTCACAGCAGTTTATCCTGGGGAAACTTCTGCAGCTCACCACAATCTGCGGTCTGCACTGTACAGCTGATGCGGCAGAAATTTCAACCAACTGCAGCTTAAAACACATTGTTGTCACAAAATTGTACTCGCAGCACACAGAAGTTTTTCTCCTTGTTATTCCCTCAACAATACAGTTCGAAGCCCTTCACCTAGGGGCAATATTGTATTCGGAATCATAAGGCAGCTGATTTAAAGCCAGCCAGAAAGCGTGCATAGGTTATATGCAAGCACTACGGCCTGCTGCATAAAGCACTTGAGCATCCGTGGGTTTTGGTACCGGGGGGTGGGGGGCATCTGGAACCAGTTCTTAGAGCACAGTGAGGAACCACCAGTATCTGTGAAGAAAGGCGATCAAGAGTTCGAAGTTAGAATTGTATTCACTTGGAGACTTCTTTATAATTTTTTACATCTTTCAGACTTCAATAAATCTTTTGAAAGTAATACATTTTCAGGGCTGGCCAGATAGCTCAGTGGCCTAAAGCACCTGCTTCAGGCAAGCTTAGGCAAGTGCAGGGCGGGGACCATGGTTCCCACCACATGCCAGCCCTGACCCCCCAGTAATAATAATGCATTTGCCTTTCTTCCTTTTTGCCCTTGCTAAATACTTCCCTCTTGCCTCTCAATTTTTTTTTTCCTGTCGGGGACAGAGAGGAAAGCTTCCTTACATGAAACAGTTCAGTTTAATAGGCATATGGCAAAAGCTGGCAGCACTTGTGCTTGAACCCAGATCCAGCGTTACCAGCTGTGAGAACCTCCTGCGTGCTAAAGAAAGGCCTACGAACAGCCAATTTGGCGGGGGCGCATTTGGAGTGTCTGCAGAATGCAGGCACACTTCCAAAGGTGTGTAGCACACACAGGGCCAGGCCTGGTGGCGCACACCTACAATTCCAGCACGTGGGAGGTGGAGGTGGAGGCGGAAGGACCACTTCAAGTTTGAGTCCAACCTGGACTACACAGTAAGGTCAAGCCCAGCCTAAACTACACAGCAAGACTTGGTCTTTAACACAAACGTGTAGTATAAAGGATGATGTGTTTTTAATGCATGAAATCATAGATACATAGCAGTAGAATTTGTAAATAGATAAATGGATGGAGGATAACTGTAGACTTCACAGTATTTTGACTTTCTTTACAACTCCAGTAGTGATCCGTGTTAGCTAATTTCAGGTGAAACATCGTTGTGAGTTTGTTTGGATCGCTGGGACAGGAAGCAAACTCATAGACAAATGGGAATATTCTTTCTACTGTATGCAGACCCCACACATAGATAGATGGAGGCCCCAGGAGGTTGGAGTTTGCAAAAGGAGACGCCGATTTTCGCTGAGAGCTCCGGGTCAGACTTAAAAGACATAAGATGCCGTGTGTGGATAATCCTTCCTAAAAGATACGGTGGAAAAGACGGTGGCTGAGGGATGGTTTGTACTGGCTCTTCAGAGCACACTGCTGAAAAGAATTACGCCTCTCTAGGGCACAGAAAGCTTTGGTGAACCAATCTCCTCTGGGGTCTGGGTGCCCGGAAAAGAGGAGGAGCCGGCTTGTCCCAGCGCCAAGGGATGGAAGGGCTAGCTCGGCAGCATGTACCCAAACGCATGCATTAAGTGAGCTGAGAGAAGGCCCCGGGCCTGCGTCTGTCTGAGGCCGAGATCCACAGGGATCATTCCAGTGAGTGATTCATTCCAGGCTCCGGTGAGCAGCGGGACCCAGCACTTCTCTCTCCTTCAGGGCAGCGTCCTGGGTCCACACCTTTGTGCCCTTGTCCTTCGAGTCCCTTTGCCCGAGAAGTGCTTTCACCCAGCAGAATCTAACAGCAACGCTTGGACTGGCAGTTACGCAAAGAAATAGCGGTAGCTGAGTTTCTCTGCAGAGTTCAGGCTCGGGCGACGTGGCAGAGGAGGTGCCGCGGTGAGGGAGACATGAGCAGGGTGTGACAGCTGCCAGCACTAGCACAAGGCACTGTCACCCTTCTGCGTCAGCCCTGGGGAGAGCGAGTGCTTAGTCCGCCCGCCCGTAACACCACGCTATGCAGGTCACCCCCTAAGGTGCGGGTTGCAATCGGGTTGAAAGTCGCAGGAGGCACAGACGTATTCCACACTCGCATCTGGCATCACCAATACTATGTGCTGTGGTCATAGTCTAGCTGGATCATTCTTCTGTGTTGCTTGGGAATAGATAGATAGATAAATAAATAAATAAATTCCTCAAAATTACACCGGGGTTTCTCTTTGCCCGGAAAAAGGCAGGTCCTGTAAACTGAGCCTAAATTCCAGACACACTAGGAATAAACAACCGAGGTGCGAGCCCGCTGAAAGCAGGCAGGTCCCAGCCCGTTGCTCCAGGCAAAACCGACAGGAGCTCTGTCTCGGACCTCCAGGGAGGCCGAGGGCACCGAGGCAAGGCCAGGCGCGGCTGGGGCGGACCGGGCGTCTCGCGCGGGTGGGCGGGCG